CAGAGTTAAAAGGAAAAGTACTTTGCTTCCAGTTTGAAATTTTCTGACCTAAACTTCCAGCCCCTGGACATGGCGATGAGTCCTCTGGTTCTGCCTGCTGTGTGCTCGGTATCTGCTGCCCGCATCCTCTCTGTTCAGCTGGCTGGAAAACGCCGATGGTCTAAGGGTTACTGGATTACAATTGTTCTCTGCAAACGAAATCCACATCTGTTCTGACAACTTATTTCAGCCTGATGCAACTTGAAAAGGTCGAGATTAATCCCAGAAAATCAGACTTCTATTGGAAAGGCCAAATCAACTTTAATTGTAACACATGGCTATTTGTATTGGCGTTTAGCCGCAGCCATTTATCCTTCTTTCCATTGGTATTATTTGTTTCTGAGCTCACTACTAAAGCCTACAAAGCAAGCTGAAATGTTCTAAGTAACGTAACAAAAATAGCCGCTGACATCTTTCCTTTTACAGGTTTCCATTGACCCAGGGTAGTTTGTGTGCATGGCTTTTACGACTTTTGTTTATCAGCAGTCTGGGGAAAAAAAAGAATCATAGAAGAAAAAGTTGGCTCATTTTATAAGGCTTAATGGTGCCTACTGTACTTTCAAACCCCTCCTAGCCTGTTGGCTTTACCCATCAGGGCCCAGGGGGATGAACCCCTCGCTCTGGAGTTCTGCCTCCTGTCTGACTTTGCTCTCAGGTGTCGAGGGGTTCAGAACCCCTTCGCATGGCAGCAGTGGCAAGCTGTGGCTTTCTGGGCTGGGGAGGTGACAAACAGCAGCAGCCACCCCTCAGCACAGGGGCCAGGTTGGTGTAGCACCTCTCTGGCCGCCCCGCGGGCTCCCGGCAGCTGCTATCGGCTCAGCCATCGAGCCATCGACTGACATTTGAGCGCTCGCATCCCCTGAAAAGTGGCAGGACGAGAGAGACTCATTTGGCAATCCTTTGCTTTTGCTGTTTGGCCCGGAGAAAGATACTTGAAGTGGTAAGATTGTTTAGCAACAGCTGGCAAGCACCCGGGTGTGAGCCTGATTTCAGACATGACAGGCACTTACAGGAATGTTGCCAGATACAGCTGTTTAAAAGCCTTAATAAACAGCAAGTCAATACTAATCTTTGCCAAATTAATCTTTTCCTTGACAGCCCATCAGAGCAATTATGCTCAGGCTCGTTGTAAACACACAATTGTCAGAGGGTAAGGATCTTCTCCGCAGTATACTGTGCATTTTTTGCACACAGCTTGTTTTCCAAATAGGAAGGTTTCCTTTTCTTTTCCCCTTCCTCTCTTTTTTTTTTTTTTTTTTTTTTCCCCTCCTGTTTTATTTTCTAGCCAATTACATGTTTGCCAGCTTGGTATTAGCCTGAACAAAATTTCTTTGTAAAGCGTCTCTCGCAGCAAGCCCTTGATAGAATGTGAAATGATGACAGTCGCAGGATCCATGCAGATGCACATTTGCTACTGGGTTTTTCTAATTAGGCAGCAACTGTGACAGACTCTGAAATGCTACAAGTCATTGTTCTCACTTGTCCTCTTGTCGGTGGAATAAGAACTCCATTTGAGTTGTGATTTAATGTGCTGCTGGGTAATAATAAAATACATGACTCTGCAAAGGAAAGCGCAAGACCTGGCTCGAAGCACCTCCTGCATATGCGCACTAAGTAATATTTTACTTGAATGCAAAAAACCCCTTGAAGACACCAGATAAATAATTGACAGGGCAATGGCTGTATACCTGTCTATCTGTCTATACCTGTATCTAGATCGATGTATATCTATATATCTATATCATCTATCTCTCTATCTGTATCTATACCTACCTACCAAGGGGAGTTCTGGGGAGTAACTCCTGTAGGGGTTACATACAGCTCTTTAGCTACTTCTCACCGTGTCTGCAAAATAAGGATTTTTACCTACTCCCTTTCCCCAGAGCAGAGGAGGAGATCTCCGTGGATCTGCCATGTTTACAGGAGCGGGTAAGAAATAGGCAGATACAGTCCTGGAGAGGGTGGTGCAAGTTGAGATGAAGTCTCAGAAGGTTGAGGAAGGTGGGAAGAGCATGTTTTACCTTCCATAATGAGCTCTTTTATTGTCAGGTTTCCTGTTTCCAGAGGAGCCTCGCAGGGAATATTTGGCAGAGACGCCACTGGAATCAGGAACTGGTATTTGGTGAGAGAGAGAAGTGGGCACGAATACATTACATCTCACTGTGCACGGCTGGGGCCCTCTGTGAATGCAGTACTTGCTGCCTGTGGGTGCACGTGGGGGGAAAAATCCCACAGCAGGGGAAGAGCTCCTTTGGGTCAGAGGTGGCAGGCGGGCAGGATTTCTGCTTGAATGTCTGTCAGAGTTTGGTGATGGAAAGACCGGGACACATCACCAGAACGGGACATACCAAGAGCAGCAGTAAATTCGAAGAGCCTTTCCTTTTCAAAACCTCTGCTTACCTGGGTGCAAGCAAATGGGATTTACACCTTGCAGAGCATGTATGTGGCTAACCTTGCATTTTGCCTACCAGTTTATAAAAATAATGAAAAAAAATATTAATTTCAATTCATGGAAGACATTATTTCCGTTGGTTTCTATCACTTTGACAGATGTTGTTATCATATTTACTTGCTGCTGTTGTGTTGCTTCAACGTGCTGGTTGTTTCGTTCCCGTGTGCTCTCTCGTTATCACCGTTAGGACAGATGGGGACTTAGAACCCATGCATGTGTTACCGTGGTGCCTAAGCCACAGAGCTTCAGCGAAGGATGGGGCACACCTTCAGGAACTCCAGGGGAGTTTCACCTGTTTACGAAAGGAACTCAGCCGTCTGGGCTCCATCTATTGACAATTTGTATCTGCCAAGACACACACACACAAAAAAAAGCAACCAGTGCTTTTTCCCACGGCCGAACACCCAGAACTGACATTTATGCATTGAAGTTGGAGCTTTCCTTGGGCTTCAGCACAACCTTGGCCAAAACTGCTGCTCTTTCAGCATAGCTGTCCCGCCCAAACAGCGCCCAGGCACAGAACCGCACCCAAAGCACTCGATGGGCAAGGGGCTGCGCGGCCAACGCTCCGCAGGTTTCCTTCTTACAGACCGAGAGACACCAACTAGCCAGAGGTTCATACAGAATAAGTATTTTATTCATGATGTACTTTTTCTTTTATTTACATTAAAGTTTTCTTGTTTTTTGAACTCTGCTTGGATACCGAAATCAACAACTTCATGTGACTGCGCACCTGCTCTAAAAGAAATGAAGATAACACAGTTCTGCCCCGTAAAAGAAAAAGGAAAACTGCCTGTCAAAATCAAAGTTGATTTTTCTCATCCCCAGTAATTATCTTCTCACTTTAGAATTAATATGAGTGGAAAATGTAGTTTACTATAATATAATAAATAGAAGACATTGGGTAATTACTAGTGCTGGTATATTTCTAAAGTACTAAACAGGCAAACAATAAACTGTGAATTTAATCATGAGTTCTCATACAGTTTCAAGACAGGAAAATTAGAGCTCTCAGCTACAGTCATTTAAGTAATCACATCTGATCTGCATTATTTATTAGTTATTACATGCCAAGTGATTCCGATTGTACATTGCCTGAAATCATTCCAAAGCAAGCATGCCTTTGTTTCTGTTAGGTTTTTAAAGAAAAATCAATGGCATTGCATAACGTGTATTTTATCCGAGTTGTTTTCTTTATTTCACATAGAAAATACAAATCAGTGGTATTTGCCACTAGCTGGACAAGCATCCAGGATGAAATCCTCCAGAAATATATTTTCAGAGCTATCCCTGACCCAAAACATTGACGAAATATCTTCTTTTGGATTTTTTTTTTTTA